TGAAATCATGAGTCAATTGAAGCTAGACTACCATGGAAAACCTGAAAGCACTGGACGGCCGTTTCGTCCGAGTATGCGACTCATCAGTAGTGCGCATCCATGATCCCGCCGTCCACTGCTTCTGGGTTTACCGTGGTGGTCTCTCTTCAATTGACTAATGATTTCAACTACTGAAATCTAATATGACTTAAATTTTAGCAAATGTTTTTGGGGGTTGGGTGGGGGTGGTGTTGTGAACTAATCAATTCGATCACTGCATTCTTTTAGATTAATTTACGTAGTTAATAATAGATATACAATTCATACACAGATTTGGCAACTAATTCATATGGTTATTACATAAATATTCATGATGAACATATTGAAGTTGAACTTATCAGTAAAATCAATAATGATTCTATCTATGATGAACATAATGGTACACTTTACATAGTACAGTAGTTTTAGTCTTTAATCAATTAAACAAAAATATGATAACAGAAGATTGTTTTTCAAAGAAAAACCAAAGCTGATAATGATAATAACTCTGTGACCGTTGTAACTAATTATGTAACATTGTGAATTCGTTATAAATATGATGTACACTTTGATCCTGATAAGTAATTGGGTTTTTTTCTAACAATGTTAATCAGTCAGATCATGAATAAAGTTGGTCATACTCTGTGGTGCGTGCTACAGATGTCTCTCGATGTAGCCTACTTACATATGCCTGTTACACCTCGTGGAGGAGCATACACCACCCACCAGCACTCTCCATCCAACCATGGGATGGGTAATCCTTTACAGTGATTTCAAGTTGATATACATCCTTTTCATATCTATTTCCAATTCTCAACTCAACATTTCCCTTCAGGATTCCAAGTTAGTGCTTGCCTCGTAATGCAGTTTAGTGATTTGCGTAATGCATGTCCTATCCACTTCTAATGTCTTTTCTTAGTTTCGTCTTCAGCTGGAATCTGGCTTGTTCTCTTCTATAGTAAGCTGATATTGATGGCAACTGGTCAACCGACATTGAGCATCTTGTATAGACGATTGTTTGCAAATACTTGTACTACTTGGATGATGGTTGTGATAGTTCTCGAAGTTTCAGCTCTGTATAAGGGAACTGTGTTGACACTCGTATTGGAGTTTGTGACTTTGATATTGGTTGATAGAGAGTTGTTCTGAGTTCCATATATATTCTTCAATTGTAAGAATGTTGACTTTACTTTTCCAATTCTTACCATCACGTCTGCATCAGATGTTACTTGTTCATCGATGATGTATCCCAGGTACGTGAAATATTCCACATATTCCAGAGATTCTCTATCAAGTGTGATTGAGTTGGCGTTTTCCGCGTTATATTTGAGGATCCTGCATTTTCATTTGTGTATGTTGAGGCCCATTGATTCAGAGGTTGATGCTACACTAGTTGTCTTCATCTGCACTGTCGATGTAAGTAGTATGTAATAACAGTCAGAAGTAGAATACTTATCAAAAGACTGTTGAGAAGGTTAAACTGAAGATAATATGAAGAGAAACATAAAGGAATTGAGAATTGTAAGAATCATGAGGGATATAAAGGACAATTGATGAAGTATACATGCAAATGAATTATTTAATGTATGATTATCGCATTTTACGAAAGAATTCCGCAATTCTGCATTAAGTAACAAATTAGTTTTTCCTACCTGAGTATTAACTCACAACAACTCCATTGTCGATTTCAAGAATTTAAAATTTAGTAAACATCATCTAGACAGTGAATCAGATGTAAAAAAAACATGATAGACAACACAGATATAATACTTCCATCAATAGAGGTGATTGAAATTCCTCCTCGTTTTGAATCAAATTTATTTCAATCGTTGAGATCATAAGTCTGTTGAAGCTAGACCATCATGAAAACCTGGAAACACTGGACGACTGTTTCGTCCTAGTATGGGACTTCTCAGTAGTGCGCATCCACGACCCCACCCCGCGGGATTCGAATTCAGGAACATTCAGTTGAAACTAGAAATTAACACCATTGTATACCGGCCAGCTCAGTAATCTAGTGGTTAATCGCTAGCACGCGACACTGATAGATACCGGGTTCAAATCTCTCGAGGCGGATTCGTGAATACACACTGCTGAGGAGTCCCACAATAAGATGAAACTACCATTCAATGCCTTCAGATTTTCCATAGTGATCTATCATCGACTGAATCATTATCTCAAGTTTTAAAATAACTATAATATTCACAAATAACCCCCTTCTGATACGAAGTACTTTTGAAACATTGAAAAATTGTAGTTTATGCTTGATTGACTAGATTATAAGTTTAATTCTTAGATAGAAAAGATGATCATTTTATCTAAACTAAAGTACAATCAAGATATGATCTCATGTCTATTCACTTTTACTGTTTACTGTTTTCAATTTAAACAAATTTTGTATCAAAAAAAAGAAAAGAAAACAGAAAAAAGAAAAAAAAGATAAGAAAAGAAAAAAATGACACAACGATATAGCTCTGTTAAATTATCGATTATATTACAATGACATAATGTACTTCTACAATTCTTTACTGTTTTTTTTTCTTTCTTTTATAAGATGCTGGTTGTCATCCACATATATCTATCTATCTCTATACCTAGATAGATTCAAACTGTTTTGTAACCTATGATTAAGTCTAATTCTAAGTATACAATTAAACTAAGCTTCATTATCAACCAACCAATCAATCAATCAGTCGATCAATCAGTCGATCAATTAATATAGAAACAAATTTTACTGATCTACAACTGTGCATTGATGTTGACACCGTGTTAAAAAAAAGCAAAAAAAAGATCAACAACAACACCCCATGAGTTGAAATTAAAGATAAATTTTTTTGGTGTATGTAAACAAAACTTCTGAATTGATTCGAATCTTAAAATGTTTTGTTTTTTTTCGTTTATTTTTTTGTTACTATGGTATAGTATCTTAGATAGTTGACTGATTAGAAATAAACTATTATGAAACATTAGGGTAGTTGCTTTATGTTTTGTTGTTGTTGTTGTTGTAACATATTCGATGTTTGTAAGTTTCAGACGACGTTTTGTGAAGATTGTAGTAATTTCAATAGTTGAGATTATCAGTCGCTCCATTTTGTGGTTAATTTATAATGTTCACATGTAAGTGAAATAGATGTTAATAATACGGTAAACATTGTTTTTTTTTCAAAAACCAGTCTAATTTATTACATTGATATTATGAATGGGACAATGTTAGACCACCATTGAAAACTTGGAAAGTACTGGATGGCTATTTCGTCTTAGTATACGATTCCACAGTAACGTTCTATTTATGATATCTGTCTAAAGTTAATAATCTGTACAAATCTATATACTGATAACAATCATGTACTGCCTAGTAACTAGATTCAAGATGTAACTGCTGGAGTTCTAGTGAGAAGGCAATGACTAGCAAAGTCCAATCCAAGTCAGATGTGAGATAGTTATCCATCTTAGACAATACACAAAGAGTTGTATAAGTTAATGAATCGATTGAAATTAGAAATGAACATCATTGGATGCCAGCTCAGTGGTCTAGATATTGAGAATTCATGCACTAGAATAATGGTCCTGGATTAGAGTCTTACGTGTTGGATCGTGAATACGCAGTTCTCACTAGTCCCATACTGGAACGAAAAGGTCATCCATCGCTCTCAGGTTTTCAATGATAATTGAGCTTAGATCGAGTCATGATTTCAACTTTCAAAAAGGCTACAATCTCCACAAATCATCCAAGTAACAACAATATTTACTACTTGATAAGTTACTCTCTGACGACATAATATAAAGAAAATTGACGACTTTTAAGGTAGTTCAATATGTCTCAAACAAAAATTAAATTGTGATAATTTTGTTCTCTTGAACTGAAACGTCGATAACAACAATTGATTACTAGACAGTATAATATGTCGTACTTCATGCATATAAATCCTGAATAGTTTTGATGACTAGTTCAACATTCCTGAAGAGTTTCAATCTAAGACGTATTATTCATTTTGTACTTCATATTTTCCGGATAATTCCTCAGCTATCATTACTTAATGCTGATATTTCAAATAAAGTTTAAAAACACCATTTCATGATAACCCAACAATTTGATAACTATGAACTTAATAAAAAGAAGATATCAGTAAGATACATTGGGTTTTTTTCAATCTTCACATTACATCATACTAGATGATAGTTGTTTACAATGATGAAACCGATTTCCTTTCTCTTCTTTAAAACAAACAAACAAGCAAAACAAAACAAAACAATCATGATGACAGTAAACTGTTGTTTTTTTATCTGTGAGAGTTTAATATAAATAATAAAGAGGATAAGAAAAGCGAACCCTCTTTAGTTCATTTAGTTATTTCGAAATATCACTTAAAAAGTGTTCACTTGCTCATGGATAAAGTTTTCAAGAAAAGAGAAAAAAAAAGTGGACGATCACCACAATAGAGTGAACCAGTATTTGTTCCGGACCATTTAAAATATAAAGAAAACAGTAACAAAGACTGGAAAAAAAACACCAACAGAAACGAGAACAAATGCCACTTTTTTTAAAAAAAAAGTTCACTAATTAATGAAGTGAAAAAAGGAGAAAGAGCGAAAAATAAACCGGTCTATTATAATGTACAATGTTCAATTAACACATTTGTATTTGTTTTAATCATAATAGTAAATAGTTCATTGCATACATACATACATACATACCTGCATACCTACGTACATACATAGGGATATACATAATTAATTTGGTCAACTTACTAAACTGTTTTATATATGTAGATAGATAGATATCCATTTTGTTCATATACTCAGAATATTCAATGTTCAATGATGTAAAATCTTGTTTTTTGTTTATTTGTTTGTTTTAATGAAGTGAACATATTCATTTATATCATATTGAATAATGAATCTAATTTAAGTTTTGTTTATATAATCTGAAACAGATTTATTTTGAAGTAATAAAGGCACTTCAATGTTTAACCTTAATTCATTCATACATGAGCTGGTTTACGTATAACACTAATAGATGGTTCATTAATATGATTAAAATTATTCGATTTTAATAAATCTGAATTTGTTTCTTCTATATCCATATTAGGAATAGTTTTCATTTCATTATATTGTAATTCTGTTGGATAACGATGTACTATTGTAGTAAAATTAGGTGTATATTGAAAAGAGATTAAATCATCCGGTTTACTGGATAAATGATCATCATGTTTCATAGATTGATGAAGCTGCTGCTGCTGCTGTTGTTGAACTATGGGAATTGGACGATTATTAGATAATGATGTATTAAGATCATTTTGTTGTTGTTGTTGTTGTTTAATTGTTTGTGTTGAATTTTGATGTGATTTTTTAATTTGATACAATAATTTCTTCCGTGTACTATCACCATAACAAACACTATTACGTGAATATCTACCTAATGAACCAGTACGTGTAATACCATTTTTTCCATCAGAATTATTTGAAGGTGCTGGACTTACTGAACCATTTTGACATTGTAATAATAAACCACGTTGAGTTGAACTAATTGAACCATGTGATGGTATTGGATAAATTGTAATTAAACCAGAATTATCATTATATGATGCAATAGGTGCACCAGTCATTGGATAACCTGATATTTGTGCATATTGTGTATTTAATGCTGAATAAGAAATAGGAATATTTTGTAAACCATTTTGTGGATCACATGTACTTATATTACTTCCTGTCATGACAATATTATTCATACTAGCAGTTTCACTTGGTATATGTGTTATACCATAATGTCTTGGTGATTGATCTGTTATAAATAATGGTGATACTTGACTCATATTAACTTTACCATTCATTTGACAAAATGGTGTCGGTGATGGATGTGATTCTTTACAAATACTAGCTTGAGATGAACGTATCATATGTTTTTTAAAATAATGTGGATTTTGTCTAAGACGTATACATAAGGTTAATGATGTCATTGCAAAGACTACACACATAAAACTAATTAAAGCACATGCAACACGTGATATAACTAATTGCATATATAATTCCCGATTTTGTCGTTCAGCTTTAGTTAATGCTACAATATTCCTTCCAATGATGATACTACTATTATCTTGTTTTGATATATTTATATTGGCATCATTTATATTAGATGGACATTGTTTACGTAAACAAAGAACATGTTGCGGTGTTAACACTAAATGTTCCGATGCTAATGGATTAATTAATTCTAATTTTAATTGTTTATCTGGACGTAGTACAACCATTAAATTTAAATCACCAACACGATCAGCAAGAAAAAAATATCTTGGATCATTCGCTAATTGTTTTGATTGACCAATACCGATGACTTCAGCACGTATTAATAAATCTAAACGTTCTAAATCAATTAATGATGCTGACCATTCATGATTAATGTAGTTTAAGTCTTTTTCAGCTTGATTTAAATCTTCATCATTATTTGAATAATCATTAGATGATAAGGATGATGATGATGATATAGGTATTATTTCACCATTTAATAATTGTAATCTTTTACAGGCTGTCGCATGACCATATGCATCTAAACTTGATGTTGGCGGTGATGTTAACCATGCATAAGTAATATTACATTGTCCTAAACGTCTGAAACCAGCTTGTCCTAAGATTGTATAAGAATCAGCTGGTAATAAACGTCTTGAACGTAATGATGAATATAATTTATTTTGTCCATTCACATAATATATCAATGATGTAATAATTAGAAATACATAAAATTCATAGAAATACATTATTGATAATTATTGATCGATCGATTGATTGATTGTTTGAATTAAAATTTCAATGTTTGTTTCCACATAGTTACTAAATTGTTTTTTTCTTTTTCCGCAGCAACAAAAACTTAAAAGAGAAAATTTATGTAGAATCCATATAGTAAACAATCTTGATCCATTCTATTCAAATGGTTACTACGTTCATTTATTTTTAATGTTGTATACATATTACTTATTTCACCAGATTACAATAAATTATTTTTAGATTTTTTTTACACAAATATATTTCATTGCTTCATTTTGATTGGTTAATTGAATTTGATGAAGAAAAAATAACGGAATCTAACAATTTGATTGGTTAATACATTTTGAACAACACAAAAAATAGGAGGCACAAAATGTTGATTTGTGTACATTGAATAAAAAAAAAATATTTTTTTAATGATTTGATAATCATCTTTCTAAGAGAGAAAGAGAGAGGAATAAAAGAAGAATTTATATTCACTTGGTGTTGTTTTATTTGTATCTTCCCATTGTTATTTAAGACTGCAAGGATCATTCTTATGTTGGTATATGTGAATCTTGTGTGGATTGCCTCCGTATAACCTTAAGTCACAAGCATTTTAAGCAAAGATGAATAGTGACTAGAAGTGCAATCCAGTTTGATGCATGTTTCATCCTATTTGAGACTTGTCAGTTGGATGTACTTGCATCGTAGATTTGATGTGTACTCCAGGACTCGAACTTTGTAGATAAGTGGATAATATGATGGCGTTTGAAGCGAACGGTACTGGGTTCTTGTTCCGGAGTGAACATCAACTCTACGATGTGGGTACATCCAGCTGATGAGTCCCAAGTAGGATGAAACACAAGTCCTGGATTCTACTGCTAGCCACTATCCAACTTTGATTAAAAGAAGAATTTAGTTTTAAGAAAAAAAATGATATAATGAAATATTGTAATGTACTAATGTAGTGAACAATAATATACAACTGAGGAAAATCGATTGTATTTGAATATAACATTATAGAACGTCTTAGTAAAATCTGAGAAGCATTTGTAAACTGTCAATCAATTATCTCAGACTTTGTTGTTTCTTCGTTTCCATACCAATCATTCTCTGTTCTCATGCTCTTCTCTTCAATGTTATTAATCTTCTGCTGCCAGACATTTCACTTTCAATTGATGATACATACTATTTATATTTATCGATATTAGTAGCACACACTATACTAGTTTATAGATTTTAATGAAAGAAAATCAATTTTAGTATGGTTAGTATATAATTAGTAGTGGAATGAAAGATGCACGTTTTGTCTTATTTAAGCCTTGTTGTACAGTAGTAACTAGATCTCAATATTGATCTTCAATACCATGAGATTAGAACCTACCAGCTATCGTTTTAAATGCCAACAGACTGTAAACAAGTAGGATTAACATGCGTCTTGGATTTAACTGCCAATGACTGAGTAAATGTACGCGACAACAAAAACTGTTGAAAGAATAGAATTCACTCATGATGTATATACAATAACTGAAACTGAATATCAGTAATCTTAAGTTAAATGACATTATTACAAGGTAAGCATTAATTTGTTGTGATGTCACTGATGTGATTATATGTAAGGCTGAAATAGCATGTTTCATGGGGAAGGAATTCGTATAGAAAGTTGGGATAAGTAGACAGTGTGCTGGATAGGTGATTTCATACACTATGTGAAGAACATTCTAATCAGACAGGATAAACAGGAGAGATCACATTGTTTCTTAATTCATTATAGTTGTTGCTGAGTGTTATTTCACTTTTTAATTCTGTAGGATAACTGTTTTATTTTCAGTATGATTGTTATTCAGTATGATATTCTTTGGATTGAATTAACGTGAACTATGTGTTTTAGTGTCCCAAGATCTGACTCCAATTCGATCGTACGAATGATATGAGTTTCACATAGGGTCAGCCACTACATGTTCAGCATGATATTGAAATGATGATTTTGTTATAATTTCATACATATGACTTTTTTTCTAATTAACAATCAAACAGGGGTATAAATCAACTAAGGTCATTGTGTTTTTGGAATGAATCAATCTTCGTTCATACCAGTGTTCTGTGTAGTGATTCCTCTTTTTCAAGTATAAGTAATAGGCGACCTGATTATAGTGATTAATTAACCATCATACTTATAAAAAGTGATTTGTCGTGACCAAGGATGTAATATAGCACTTGTTAAAGTATGAGAACAAACCAGCATCCAGCCGAAGGCTAAATTAGGAAAGGATGATAGAAATGGATAGGACATACATTACGCAAATCATCAAAACTACATCACTTGGTGAGCCCTAACTTGGAATCCTGAAGCAAAGCGGAAAATTGGAATGCCAAAGAACATATTACGTTGGGAAAGAGAATCAGATATGAAAAGGATGAACAAGAACTGAAAAGAAGTGGAAAGGATTGTCCAGGACAGGGTTTGATGGAGAGTGCTGATGAGCGGCCTATGCTCCTCTATAAGGAGTAACAGGAGTAAGTAAATAGGTAAGTATCAGTTTCTCATCTTGATTATTTATACATGGATTACATAATTGACCAACAGATTTTGATCACTCAGCAAAATCAATCATGTTTAGATAAACTAATCAAAAACTCTATAAACTAGATTCAGTACATGGTAGAACTTATTATATTATAGTTTGTTTTAGAAAACAATACAAATAAGGTCACTAATAGGATACAAATTTTGATAATCAAGTTCTAGGTTGAAAATCACTTAATATGGTCTGTACTTAATTTTAAGTACAAAATCTCAATTAGTTGTTATTTTAACATGTCATTCAATAGTAAGCGGTATATCTTAATATATGGTAATTATAAATGAGAATGGCGAGTTTATGGAGATTGTAGTAATTTGAGTAGTTGAATTCATGAATTGAAAAACCTGGAAGAACTAGATAACCGTTTCGTTCTAGGCTGGGACACTTCATCAGTGTGTATCCATGATCCTATACGCTGGATCTGAACCCAGGACTTTCAGTCTCACGTGTGAACGCTTCACCACCTTAGCCACATCATCCAACAGCTAGGTCACTGAATATCGAACAGTTCATCGATTCCCGTCAAGGCCAAGGATAACCAACACATATAAACTAATCGTATACCATAAACTGACCCATGTGGTGGTGGTCTCATTATCTTCTCCATAGTCGTTCTTACTAATATATTTCCGTAATAACGTCCTTTGTGTTACACGGTCTTTAAAGCAGCCATAGTACCATGATACGTCAAAGGAGTAAACCACATTAGGTGCTGATCGTGAGGTGTAACTTCGAAGTTTAACTCTACCAGGCCCCCAATCATTCGACATTAGTAATTAACTAACTTAATATTATAACCAGTATTTCATTATGAATATTACACTTAAAATAGTTTAAATAGTTTATTAAAATAAAAAGAGAATAGTATCATTAATCTTAAATCAATCAATCAATCAAGTCATAGTGTAAATATTTTGTTGACCTTTATTTGAAAGTAGTATGTAAAGAACAAGGTCATTCAATGATGAATTATTAAAACAACAAACGTTCAATGTGATTGTTGTTTATAAGATGTACATTCAATAAAGTATTATGTAATAAGCTTTGTAACACTAATATATGTGGTATGCATAGACAGATCGATGTAAATTCTGTATACTATATCTTAGAAGATAATTTTGTTCACTATGTTATGATCAGTAATGTGTTCTTTATTGATACGTTTTCCATAAAGTGTTTTTGTATGTTTTGAATTGTCATTTTAAAGTTATTTAATAGTTGAAATCATGAGTCAATTGAATCTAGACCATTATGGAAAACTTGGAAGCACTTGACGGTCGTTTCATCCTATTGTGGGACTCCTCAGAATTGAACATCTACGAACCTGCCTCACGGGATTCGAACCCAGAACTTAGTAGTCCCATGCGCCTACGCTTAATCTCTAGACGATTGAGTTGGCATCCAACGGTGTAATGACGGTTAGTGATCGTTCTGATTATGACCATTTTTATGAATGTTGTTTATCTCATCAAACTATTTTAGCGACCTCTTATTAAATATTGAGTCATGTACTGTTTTTGATAACAAAATGGTTAATTAAAATCACCCAATGTGTCATTGCATCAACATAAAAAAAAGAGAATTCAGCGAATAAAGTTTTCTCTTCTCGACGAAATCACTTACTTAAGCTGAACATTTGTGTTGTGTTATTCCTGTTATCCCTAATGGAACAAAGGCCACCGACCAGCATTCTCCAACTCACTATGTCCTTCACCTTCCTTTCTACTTCTATTCAATTGATGTTCATTCTTCACATGTCTGTCTCCATTTCTCGGTGTAATATGTTCTTTGGTCTTCCTCTTCTCCTTTGGCCTTGAGGAGTCCAAGTGATGAGGGTTTGCCTTGTGGCGCAGTAGGGTGCTTTCCTCAATGTATATCCTATCCACATGCAGCACTTCTTCCTGGAACTAAATTCGTGTTTATAGTTATAGGGAAAATATATGTCAATAGAAGGATTGAAAAGATTGCATCATAAATGTTTTAAAGATAAACTTCCGATTTGGGTCACACCACTATGCATCTATAAATTTATTTGCTCATATGGAGCAGGTTACATTGTCCGCACAAAGAGATCAATTTCCAAACGCACTTCAGAATACTAACCGGCATAGCTTTCCAAAGTAGAATGCAAAATAATTACTAGTTCAATGTAGGGGCATTCAATCAACTATGGCCATATCGCTACAAAGGAATCTTCTTTTAAAATTATCTACACAGTCATAGGAATTGGTTCGAATGGAGGTCGAATTAAAATCTTATGCACTGCTGAGACATTGGCGATACACCAACTTTGCGTGCAAGAACGATTTGTCCAACCTCTCATTCTTCCTTGGCCCTAATTCCTTTTTGTAGTATGTTTAGGGTTTTTCATTATTATTATTATTATTATTGATTGATTGATTGATTGTTTTGTCATTCTAAACTGT